GACACATACACACACACCCGGCCCACAGACACCCTTCGACGCGAGCAGCAGAGCCGCCCAGCCGCCAACACGACACACCGGCATCGCCGTAGTCGAAGTATCGAGGACACTTGGCCACCGGGCACACCGTCTTTTGTCCTAGCGCGACTTCACCACCTTTTCTCGACCGACCGACCGACCGGACGACCATCTCCTCGCCGCCCCGCCGTAGCTGCTGCTGCTGCTGCTGCTGCTGCTGCTGCCACAACGGGGGTGGCACCGCTCGCTCCGTTTCTAAAGACACGAACAGCTCCCGCCCCCTGCCCATCTGTCAGGCGGTTTTGCCATCCGCCACAACAATAACAACAAGCAGCAGAACCAGCGGGATAGAAAGGAAGATGGCGACACCACGGCGCACCCAAGGATGACTGATCCACCCAGCCCGAGAAAAAGAGGGTAACACACTAGGTTTCCGAATGACGACGACGACGACACCAGCAGCACCTACGGGGGGCCCGGCGGACAAGAGGGGGCCAGGCTCCCGCTCTCCCCTCCCGCCGAGTTCTCCTCCGCGGGGCGCCCGCCTCCCCCTCCCCCGCCGCCGCCCTCCCCCTCGGCACCGCCAGCTGGCGGCTTGAGAGCGGCGAAGCCGCCCCCGCCGCCCGCGTCGCTCCGCCCTACGCTCCCGCCGCCGCCGCTAGTGCTGCTGCTGCCTCTCCAGCAGTTGGAGCTGTCACTGTCGCTCTCGGGGCCGCTCCCGAAACGGAACTTGGGGAGCTCGGCATCGGGGAGGTGCTGATGGAGGCGTTCGTGTCGTTCGTTGACCTGCCGCGGAAGGGCGGGGAGGGGCAGGCCAGAGGGTGCCCGAGCGAGGGGGAGTGGTGAGGTTTCGGTGCATGTATGCGTCTTGGATAGTAGCACACCCCGCGCTGACCGGCCGATCAACGACCCAAAGCATCCTCTGCCGGAGCTTCGGGGGGGGGGGGGGGGGGGGGGGGGGGGCGAGGTCGCGTCGCCACTCACAAGCAAAAAAGAACATTAGTCTGACTAAACGACCGCAACTCCCAAGACAACATCTGTTGTAGTCTGGTTCGCCGACCGACGTACCTTCAGGTAAAGCTCGTCGAAGTGGCACGAGGACCATGCGAGGTACTTCGCCTCGAAAAAGTCCAGGAGATATCTGGCAGAA